AAATTTAACAGCAAATATCTAATTAGGGTTGTTTTGAGGTACATCAATGAAAAACGCCGAAAAATGTGTATAATTTTTGGTTTAATAATATTAGTTTAATAATTATAGCTGTTGGCATGAATGTCGAGTTAATTTTTCTAGTGTCCGTTTGTGGATCTGCTGGACTGCAGCTACACTGAGATGGGGGACAGTGGTGCTATTCTTCTGGCCAGACTGCTGAGGAACAACTGCAACCTCCACTCACTCCACCTGATGAACTGCAGAATGAGTGGCAAATTCCTCAACTACCTAGGTGAGATAGTTCTAGATACACATGTGGAGAGTAGTTTCATATTACGGTTTCCATTTTTATCCAATTTCAAGTTGAAAATAAAAGCGATCTTTTATTTGGTGGCACTTTTGCAATAGTATATCTGATTTATTTTTGTGCTGCATAGCTTTATATCTTTCTAACTGGTTTACTGGTGGCCAGTTCTTCTTTGATAAAAAAATTGAGCATTGTGAAAATACGTGGTTTTTTTTAAAATTGTTTTTGAGACGCTTTGATAAATTTTTGAACGTTTAAAAAATGTATATTTTTCTCGAAAACTCCGCAAACCGATTTTCAAAAAGTTGGTACTAATGGAAAGAACGGCACTTTCCTGTGTTCCTGCGTATTTCGCTAGTCTCTTTTCACTTTCGCTAGTCTCTTTCACTCGAAAATTTCAGTGGGATTTTTTTGGATTGTTTTCGTTTGCTCGAAAGCCACGCTGCCAAGTCTGAGATTAACGGTTTAATCTCAAAAATCAGTGCTAGGAAACTTCCTTGCTGAAATGCAGTCTAATTTTTTTTAGAAAAAAGTTAAGGCCTTAAAATATTTGACCGTTTTTGAAATTTTGACCCTTTTTTGGAAACTAAGTGACTTTTTTTGAAAATTACTCAGCCAAATCTAAGAGTAAGAGTTCAACCGAAAGAGCTTGCCCTAAAAGGTTTCTCTGCGTGACGGCTACGCCTTAATTTATGTAGAAAAGCAGTGTTGGTTTTCGAAAAAGTGCAACATAGCTTTCCACGGTGCCAAATCTGAGATAAAGGGTTTAATCGAAAGAACAAGCTGTAGATGTATCCCCTGCATCAGCGAATTTTTCCAATTTTGGTATGGAATCGGCTAACTATTTGACCTTCTGGCTTAAAATAAGTGTTGATAGGAAACAGGTACTTCCAGAAGACAGGTACCTGTCAAACAGGTACCTCCAGCTTTAGTTGGGCCCAAGTGTTTAACTATTGTGAGGTGGTCATGGCGCAGATGCTAAGGCGTATGACTTTGAGTCTCGGGGTTGGGGCTCAATTCCGGCACAAGCGTTATGTTTTATTTTCGATCCTTTTAGAGCTTTTTTTGCCATTTTGTCACTTGTGTTTGCGAAGTGCAGTTTCGCTTCTGTATAACATAATGTTTCTAATCTAATCTAGTTGCAGTTTAAATGAAACAGAATTACACAACACAATTGTAGAGTTAGGACTGATTTTACACAATCGAGCTAGCGAGTGTATTGTTTTTATTAAGAATCAATTTCTTTTACGTACGAGCTTGCGAGTGTTACATTACGAATCCGATTTTTCTCGACGTCATTAAAAAAGTGAGCCAGAAGATTTCATTGAAAAATTCTGCAACTTGAAGCTGCTAGGTCACTAACTAATTGATTGCCAAGTTCCGAGACAGCTCAGTAACAATGAAAATGATGAAACAATGAAATCCAAAAGCACTAGCCTAGATGCCTATTATTGTTTTTGCGATAATGTGTTCGTTAAGTAGAGAAGAGTAAAAATGTCAAAGTGGACTAATTTGTTAATTAGGGTTTAATTTTTTTAGTGGTGGGTCTTAGGAGCAATTACATCCTGCAGGAACTCTATCTGGGGGACAACGCCCTAATCCACTCTGACGCCGCCCTCCTCAGCCAACTTCTGAAGTCCAACTTCAAACTGCAGTGTCTGGACCTGAGGAACAACAATCTAGGGGTGAGTTTCGGATGATCCTTCATGTTAGAAGGGCCTCATGTCCGAACAAGATCAACTGTACAATCTCTCCCCCCCCAAAACGGTTGAAGGGGGATAAAAATGGGCTTTTCAGAAAGCTGCGAGGGCAAAGTAAATAATCTAATTAATTAATCCAAAAATAATGATGAATAATATTGTATGACTAACAGTATAAGATTGTTATTGCATATCAAAAAAATTTCATAAGCAATATTATTAGCGCGCTTGTTAAGACTAATGAACGTAGTGAACACACTTATATAAATCTTGCCGATTTTTTTTGTTTTTTTTTCAGGAAAGTCTTAAAATATTGATGCACTTAGGTATAGTGCACTTTTTGAGTTCAATTGAAGTTCACCTGCTGAGAGTGACGTAAATAGCACTCTCCAAATAAAAACGTGGAAATGACGCGAAAAAACGTGAACGATTTCTAGTTTCGAAAGTGGAATTTAATTTATATATTTCCAGCGGAATAAAAAACTTTACATGTTGATTCAGTTTTAACAAGTTGATTTAATATGATCAAAAAGGCGCCATTGATAAATCGTTCTAGAAATTCAAAGAGCTTAAAGGGCATCTTTTTTTTTCTTTGAAGTTCGAAAAGTGAGAATTAAAAAACAAGAAAGTCGGTGTTTTTTAATTTTTACTTGCGTTCATTACTCTTTTCCAATATTCGATTGGCTATGTTTTGAAATACATTTTTTATATGGAATCAAATTTTAAGGTTATGAATGCGCGAGGGAGGAAGTTCTACGGTAGGTTACTTAGAGGGGGTTGTGTGGTTGATACCCCGAAAGTTATGTTAGCCAATCAGAACTCAAGTTTTCAAAATTAGGCATAGAAATCAGTCAGTTTGTGCAGTTTGAAGGACGCTGATTCGTTCAAAATATTCGAGCTTTCTGTCCTTTGCGCGTAAAAATAGCCCTCGGTTCGTTAATTACGACACGACTGTATTTTTTGAAAAAGGCCAGCAAGATATCACTTTTTTGAAAACGCTATGACACAAGGTATTGGAACCTGATCTAAACTACATTTTATGATTGGATAAATTAGATATTTTACCACTGTAAAGTATTTAATATTAACCAATCATGATCCATCTAACTAACAACCCACTTATTTGTAAGTGCTGAAATTACTTGTAATTTCAGCACCAGAGAGATTTGAATTTAACTTAGAAATTAGTTGAACTCTCCCGAGTACTTCAGCAGCCGCAATAAACCAGTATACCCTAGATCTATTGAGCCTAGCAGAGACTAGTTAAACAACCTGAGACTAGATAGTATAAGAGTAAGATTAGGATCGGTATTAGACTAAGAAGTTGCACGAATCTACCCGGCCGAAAATAAGATAGCGTGACGAGCAGACGGTGTACCCTATCCGAAATTACTCTATGAGTTATACACTCCGATCTTAACTCATCTGGTGCGACCATAAGTCTCGAACAAGACCTTAATAGCTTAGAATTAACCAAAAATAGATTAGAATTTAGACAAAACATTTTAAAAATGTTACACGACGATAATTTAATCGAAATGTCTCTACGACTCAATAGATCAAAGCCAATATTCCGAACGATAAGAGAACTACCCGGAATTGCAAGAAGACCTCGAACCAGAGACGACATACGACAAAGTAGAAACTTACCATATAGTTATATGATAGTTCGGCAAAAGCCAACACAAACTTTTGTATTTAGAATACTACTAGCAATGAATTTAGATTTTCATTTGCAAACATAAAATATTGAAGTCAATCTTCAAAATCATTTCAGGCGCTAAACCAAATTATTAATATACAATAACGATTGATAAGGAGATCTCAGATCGTTTCCCTAAATTCTGCAGTAATATACAAAACATGTTTGAAAAATATTTATTGAAAAATCAAAATAAAAATTAGTAGCATGACAATAAATGGTTAGTAATTATAAATCATCCTGTTGTTGCAGCTTCATCACCTAAACATAACAGCATTCATAAGCTCACTAATATCATAAAAACACTAAATCTTTTCTCTACACAAATTTAAATCATTTTAAACTTAAATTCACTTAAATTTAAAATCAGATCATCAAGGCTTATCCTTGGATCTTAAATCATTTTCTATTTAATTAAATTTAAAACTTGATCATCAAGGCCTCTCCTTGGATAAAAAAGAACAATTTTGTTCTCCCGCACCCACTTAACTAGTGTCTAACGACCTCAAACGTCGATTCACTATCCAACCCTTTCTAAAAACCCAGGACTAACAGAAATTTTTGAACAAAACTAATCATTCAAATTAGGATAAACAGTGAAGAACTTCGGTTATTCATCCTTCACTTGATGATCCCTCTTACCAGACCCAGGATAAATCTTAGACTTAGTAAGTTTAAAATAGTATCTAACGAACTACTCGCGTTCTAATTATACCTGAACCTTGTGGATCGATTTACTATTCTCCAACCCTGAACACAATCACTACCCTTAAGTAAGATTAAGTAAGTTAACACCTTAGCTTATACTAGCCACGAGAAATTATAAAATCATTCTTCGGAATCGATATACTTTTCTCCCCAACCCTGAACAAATAGACCCAGGTTAGGCTAACCAAAAAATCGTAAGGACTAACAGTCTAAGTAATAGAAATCATTTAACAACCTTTTGCATCCGTCATCCTAAACCTTATGTCATTTAAAAACCTAGGAAATAAACAAACAATCGTTTTACACAATTGTGAAATAGATAACAAAAAATACGATCTTGTAATCACACCACACACACAAACAGTTGGATATATCAGAACAAAACGACAAACACTAAAAAGAAAAATAATAACCAAACAAAGACAAATTACACGAAAAAGATTTTCCAAAAACCGCAACGCATTTTCAGAATCAGAAACCAGCAGTTTAGACGAACTTTATAAATTAAAAGAATCCATAGATAAAAATTGCCCCATTCACGATCAATTATATTTTTCCGACTCAGAAACAACTTCAAATTCATCAAAAAGAGGAAAAAGAAGAATAAAAAAGCAATATAAACACAAACCAGTACATTTATACAATTGGAATCAACCAATTAGACACATTGATAATTACATATTAACAGTCATCAAACGAAAAAATGAGCTCAACACACACCCCAGGTGAAGAAAGTCCAGATGATGATGATATCTTCCCCTTTATCGTAGATGCAACCACTGATAGAGGACAGCATATATTTTGCAAAAATTTACTCTTAAATTTGTTTGAACCCGGAATCAGTCCATGTAAAACAGAGTTCCCAGATGTAAAAATCAAAAGACAAATTATCGATCACTATTTGAAAGATATATGTAACTTAACACAACAATACGGAATCTACTCCATAGAATTCAACTCACCAAACCAGAATCACAGCAAATATGTAATTCAAACAGACGACCTTGATTTAGAATTCTCAAAAGTATTCTCAGAATATATAAAAAGCATACAATATCATAACTCACAAAGAGCAAACTCCATATTCACCAATGAAGTTTTTGCAATAATATATAGTTATTATCTCGATATTAGAAAACGAAATCCCAATCACAAATGTTTCACCGACAGAAACATCTAAACATATAAGAGTACGACATGAAATCACACTACTCTCTAGTTTTCTAAATATAATTAAAGAAAATTTCACGAAAGATGAAGTTTCACAACATACAAAACACGACTTACAAAAAATTTTGGCATGGTTCATAATAGATTATTTCACACATAATATTGATTTAATTTCACAAGCAAGAAAAAATTTTAGACCCCAAAACTCAAACGATGATACTGCCATCACAGAACAATCAGACTATGTTTGGGACCCCGAATGGTCTCATCCCGCATTCATAAACTTCCCACAATCAATCTCAAGTCAAGCAATAAGTACGATATCTTATGTAAGAGATTATGTAAGAGTAATACCATTAACCATTGATGCAACACCATTAAACTATAATACATTTTTACCTGATATGCAAAATAATAGTTTAAACTCCACAGTCATACACAATGAAAACCTCAATGGAACTAGAAATCTCACTCAACAAGATATCCAGACACCATCACACTTCATAAATGAAGAAATCGTACACACAACAACTACACAACAAAGTATTTCACCAATACGTCCAAATTTAACAACACCAAGAAATACAAACCCTTCACAAACACAAGTAACCTTACAATCAACCGTTAAACCTTCGGTTGCCCCAAAATATTCACACATGGATTACCAAACATACAGACCCATGACAATACCGTCAAAAACACGTAAAACGTTCACTAGAAACAATTTTGCAGAACATAATTATAATTACACACATCCATCAAAAACAAATTATTCCCCACGAAAAAATTTTAATAATTATACAAGATCTCGAAACTGGGATAACCCAATGGCACAAACTAATTCAGTAAACTTTCAAACAAATTTACATCCTTCACAGGATCGTAGTGAAAACTATCCATTTTTTCAACAAAATAAAAATAAAAAACAAACATCTTATCAAATGGATTACTTATCCTCAGATGATGATTTTTTACAACCAGATATATTTGCACCGTATAATCAAGAATATCGTGGACAAGGAGTACAGAAACCACATACAAATCATAGAATTTTTTGTCCACAACCGATAGATACACAAAGTCAACAACCAATTCAGCAACAAAACCCAATTAATACACAATATTTTCAACCAATTCAGCAACAAAACCCAATGATCACACACTCGTATCAACCGACACAAATGCAAAATGAAATACCACTCCCATATTATCTTCAACAACACGAAATAACAAGAAATCAACTTTCAAATTTTTCTCAAATGCCAAATGCAGCAGAATCATTACAAATGACAATGAATCCATACTTTATGGGTGGATCATCAATAACATCAAATAAACCTTTAATGGTATTCACAGGAACAGACCCTGAATATTCTGTAGAAGACTATTTAAATGCAGTAACAGC